AACGATCAATTCTTGGTTGTTTGCTCAAAATCAACTTCTCCAATTTTCGCGGAGGCATCAATCAGCCAGTCATCGTCTCATCGGTCGCTGTTCAGAAAAAAGTCAGGCCAAAACTGCCAGAAGTGGTATTGTGATTTATTATTGTAATATTTGTTCATAGACCTTAGTTTTAAGGCTTAATTTTAAAGTTGGCTATATGTTGGTGTTACAATAAAGAATTCTCGATTCGCCAATCGGTGTTTTGGTTTTGCGTCCGTTATTACTAAGCGTTTCTGAGAAACTTCAAGGAACAGCGTGAGTCCCAGTGTAGCAAGAGCTGGGTATTGACGGTTTACGAGACGTGGCTGACACAGGGTTTTATGGATCCTACAGATATTACATCCTCATATTTACGAACCTGTAGGCATCATATATAAGATGAACATGCCTCAACTGGAGATAGCTGTGCAGTGTTAAGAGCATAGAGAAACACTTATAATATTGTTAGGTACACGGACCTATTGTGTTGATGGGGATAACAGTGCCATATAATGCAACCTGGACATTCAGTCGTGATACTGCATCTGTACTGCTTTATGTTAGTGGAAATTTCAGGAGAAATTCATCTCCACCATCGACGATCAAAATTGTTGCAGGATTGAGTTTACAGTGTCAGTGGGAACGGTATAACCGAAGGTAGATTGGTAATAATAGAGCTAACTAGATTCAGTTCTCATAATGAATCCACGTGTACAATAATACTATACACTGAATTAATGCACTAAGTGATACAGTGAGGAAATTTAAACGAGTGATTGCCCTCTCCACTGCACTGTACTCGCAACAGTCGTGAGAACCACCTATATACATCAGTTTAACAGTCAGCTAAGAAGACAATGGCACAACATTAATGATGTGGATATGTGTGTCGGTGGCACAGTGGTTAGGACTCTCGCCGACCATGCACATGGTTTCGGGTTCGATCCCCTGCCGACGCACACCCGATGTCTATGGTTGGCCTGCAAATTTGGGCTACCGATATCCAGGCCGAAAATTCCACACTTGTACCAAAAATACAGTGTGGAATGAAGTTGTAGTAAAAAAATAAATTTTATACACTGAGCCCGTATAACCCATGTTTCACTGCGCCAGTAAGTGCAAATATATATTCAGCCCACTCATAGATAGAATTTCGACCTACTAAAATTCCTGTTCAAACACACGTACGGGGAAAGACACAACTATACGATAGCTTGTGTTCCCAAGGAAAGTTCCGTTAGCATTTATAAGTGATTTTCAGGTACTGATAGCATTCTTTTGTCAAACAGCATTGTTCTTCGCACGAAAATATGCTGCAATAATATCCTGAGACATTAAGCCGTCACTGAATTGTACTATGCTGAAAGACGCAGCTTTTACGTTAAGTCAACTGTTTGTGTATATGACATTACTCTACAGCTATCTCATCTTGCTGACTATAGCGAAATTTTGATACAGCCTGACTGAAAAACTAATCATCGCAACCGATATGTGAAGAGTGTGCCGCAGTCGGATCACATGGAGCGGACACCATTATGACTTGTCAGGAAATGAGAATTTCTATCAATCCAGAAGACGTAACACAATTTTATCAAAATTTATTCACAAAATAATTTACCGAGCGAAATTTCAACCAACATGCCAGATGAATGCAACCTGCAAGTACGACTACACCACATGCTGAGATTTTACCATCGATAAAAGGAAAGTTTCTCCTCTGGAGTGTTTTTTATTTTCCTTGTGACTTACCTCACACCCGAAAAGTTCGTGTATTGTTACAATACATCCCCAAATCCTACTTTCCTTATCTGTTAAGCAATCCCACAAAAGTTTTCGTTCATTCTGTAACCTCATCATTATATCATTCATTCAAGAATGTCTATCATTCTACCTCCGAGTTTTATGCAAACGTGAAACAAGTGAGTGTGATCCATTCTTGTGAATTATTCGACATTGTCTCTGGTGATAACTGACTGGCAGAAGTTCACCGAAACCATTTGGCCACTGTAAGTGGTTTGGGGTTTTGCTTCTCCTATCTTCAAAGATAGCGATCAGCTAAGCATAATGAGTCATAAGCCAGCAGTGCTCATTTCATAAGGTGTTGTGGGTATTGGGAAGCGTGATTGATAGCCATATCAAGCGACATTTTTACAGAAACAACTCATTCTATCGAGCAAAGCATGGCATTGGAAGAGGAAGATTCTGTGCAATTAGCCCTTTATCAGCATGGAATGATTAAACATCACACTAGGATATGGATGCCCCGGTCTGTGTGGTCTCTCTCGATTCCGGAAGGGCATTTGATATCTCCAAGCGTGACCCCTCCTTTAAGAAATAAGTTAGTCGGGTACTGTTGGTTGGAAGGCCATCTAGATAGGAGAGAACTCTGTACAAATATCAATCTTATCTGATCATCCTTGCATAGCTCATTATGAGGAGTTTCACAGAGCTCTGCACTGCAGTCTTCAACGTTTTTGATTCTTATCAGTGACCCACTATGCCCAGCCCTTCTTTACACTGAAGGTGCACAGACTCGGCGATCAACATAGGATGAAGTAGCAGGCACACCTGCAACTTTAGGAAGATTGAGCACTGGCCGAGGGTGTGACTGTCAATCTACAAAATGCAAAATAGTCAAACCACGCATCCGAACATCACAGAGAGTTATTTACTTCCTGTGTGGCGCAGGATCATCCTACACCACATGGGGGAGCGACTTTAATATCTTTGTATAGGAAAAGCTGTTTGCAGGCGTGAATTACACGGATAATGTCGTGGGGAAATATGCAGCTATTACCTTCATTAGAAAAGCATTAATTGTGCTCCCTCCTAAGGTTTTTCTAAGGTTTTGAAGACCGCACGTGCTACCACCTCTGGAAGAGCTTGGAATCATTGCTTATATGCTACTATGAAAGGACTTGAACATTTTTGAAGGGAACAAAAGATGGAGGCAGAAGGAGGAATGAGTGGCTAGAATAAACAATGCGATTTATGTATTGAGGAAATTAAGTCTTGTCGCACTTAGCTACCTCGGGCTTAGAGATAGGCTAATTATTTGTGACAAGATTACTAACTACCAGAATTATGTGCTTCCTTGAGGCAATCTAAGGAAGATGGCGAAATCGAAGGCCAGGGACTTGAATGCGTTGCTGCTGGAAACGTTTACCAGCATTTGTGGCCACTGGATCTTCTGTGAAAGGCTTCAAGCGCGGAGCAGATACTACTTCGGCAAGGCGAGGACTGTATCTACACAGACTATCTGCATGAAAGCCACACATAATGCTCCGTTGATGGCCATCGTCTAAACTCGTCCTTCTCCGCTGCTCACTGTCTCCGGCTTTACTCTCCCGAATACTCTGCTTATTCATAAGCCTTTAGAGGCTGACCTTATTGACGTTTGCGGATTGTACGAAGTGTACTAACGCTAGGTCCAATACCAACCACTTCTATCGTATTCCTTCCGCGTAGACCAAAGGCATAATGAAACATCACAATTGGTCGTCCAAATTACGAGATATATTTCGGGATCAAAACGGATTGCGAGATGATTGCTAAACTGGCTAGTGAGCGTGCACGAATGTGACACGGCGGAGTACCGAATGGCATGGATGCTTGACCTGAAGCCTTCAACTAAACAAGTCGGCTAAAACAGTGAGGTTCAGCATCCAATGTTCAGTGATGATTGCTGCGATCAATAATTTTGGGTTTTTATTTGCCGCTACAAGCTTAATTTATTAATTGTCAAATTTCATTACCTGTCTATGTGCTCGTACGTTTTCCTTTTCAAGTCCAGATAATCTACAGCGCTTATTGAAAAATGCTTAAAGTAGTCCCAGAGTATTTAAGAAAAATCGGAACAAGATTTTTCCAAATGTTTCGCCATGTATGCGACAGCTCCATCAGCAGAATAATTATTCGGATTTTATTAGCCAAAAAGTAGTCACAAGAACTACATAAATTGGAATAAACTCCTCCAAAGCTCACCTGTTGGTAGACATTTGTACCAATAGGAAAGTGTAAACAGCCACCACACATTTGCAGTGACTAATATCAAATAGTCATACGTCGATATTATTCTGTATGTGCATGCATCTTGTTTTTTGTATGGGAGATGCGTGAAAAACATCTCAATATCTTTATATGGACAACAACATATGACTGAGCATCTCATTTTCCTCGTATATCTTTCTTGTTTGCAGTCTACCATAAAAGTGATAAAGTGATATCGGTGCAGGTGTTTATCTACAAGTGAGCTTCAAAGGAATTCACTCCAGTTTAGGTAGTTTTCTGACAATATATTTCCATGTTCAACAAAATCCGAGTAGTTCTGCTGAACCACCTGTAGCTTACATAGTGAAACTTCTTGACAAATCTTGTCTCGATTTTTCTTAAACAAGCTCTAACTATTCTTAGTAAATTAAAATGATTCGATCTGGCTCAGCTCTCAAATTAATCCAGGGATTCCGTAACATCCATGGCCTAGATACTTATAATCCCACACTAATGATATCTACTATTATTATCGTCCTTCTTTTCGACCAAAGCAGACGACCAATGTATGAGAGGATTAACTGCATTCACATCAGCGACAGAGTCTTAATATACTGCCTACTGCTAACCACATACGACCAATCTTCGCACTACTTTCCATTGAGTCTATCGAAGCCACGGTAGTCGAGCGGCAGGACACACTATGCGGAATTTTATCAGAGATCAAGGGCCTCTGTCTTTCATTCAAGAAGTAAGCACAAAGGAATCAATTTTACTTACACTAGCTGATATTTGACATATTGTGTGAAGGGCATTGGAAATTGAAGACGCAATAATAAAGGCGGTTTCTTGACGGTTCGTCGAATTTTGTGTCCGGCAGCCTGTAGACGGACGTAGGTCATTTGATCAGCTGATGGATATTGGCGTTATTTATTGGAAAAACGTCAAGGTCAGGTCATTTTTTTGTGTCCTATGTGTTTGTCAAATGAAATATGACTAGTTGCATTTTGATCATTTCAATTGTTTTGCTTGTTTGTAGAAAAAATATTGCTTGGCGATCAAGTGGCAAGACACATGCTGAGCTCATAAATAACCTATACAGTAACTAGGATGCATACTGTAGTATGATGTTTTGCTGCAGAAAATCGAGTTATTACATCGGAAATTGTAAAGAGTACGATGCTGTCTGTAGACCGCGGGTATTTCACGAATTCAAGTCCATATCTAGACCGGCCCCGGCCAATTGGTTTCGCTGCAACAATTAGTGCTCCTCATATGGTAAGTACTTACTGAAGTTGGCAGTTTAGTGTGAGTTAGAAACTACCCTAAATCTATCGAAAGGATACTAGACCATAGAGCAAATCATCTTCAGATCTAAGGTAGGGATTTAGGCGTATAATGAAGAATTTATCATATCATTTGGAGTGCTGATTTTATAACTTTGGTTAGTATTTCCGCCGATCGTTCACGGTCTCTGGCTAACTGGTTTTTCTGTTTGCTTTGTCAGTGGCGCACATAAGGTGTTCCGATATGCATCAGTAACCATAGATTGCTAACGAACAAGGAGTTATGACAAGTGTTTTTGTAGTTGACATCAGTCAAAACGGTATAATTCTAGTACTTAGCGCTGCATACTACAGGTGATGATTTGTAAGAACCATGGTTTGTATTTGACTAACCATTCATTTCATGTAGCTTATGTTTGAGCTAATTTATTACTTTTCAGTAGTCCTTCATGTATTTAGAGGCTGTATCGCATATTTCTTTTTGTTTTTATGCTTTAGCATGCACATGCTTTGGAAGCACTAAGAGATCATCTTAAACCTGGTTCACATGCCTTAGATGTTGGGTCAGGTAGTGGATATTTAACAGCGTGTATGGCACTTATGGTAAGTTTGTTTAATTCTGCACAAAAGTTTCACGTCGTAAACAGAGCTCACTGCGTGTGAATACATCTTGGTATATGTTAGTCTGTCATTCAGTATATGTTTTCTGGAATAGTTACCAAATAAACTCTTATTGTCATTTGACTGCATTCAGTGTAATAAAGACAAACGTGATAGAAACAAACAATATCTGAGTTTTCCCTTGATAGTCAAACAAAAATAAGTGATTTAAATGATTGTTTTACTGTCATTTGTGTGAGACAAGAATGAACAGCAATTGGAGTTCGCGGACAGAAGTGTAAACTAAAACAGTTTATTGTCATAGCTCAAATTTGCTGTTCGTGCGATGTGTATTTCAAGGTTGACTATTTCATTGACTTCTTTAACCCTCTAGAGGTGTAACCTCAAGACTATATACTGCTGATAATCGAGATGCGTAGGTGTGCACCACTCACATCAACCAGTAGTGCTTATCAGCCAGCTAGGTCGAAATAATCTAAACACCGGACTTCTGTTTCGCTCATTTAGTGCTAAACTCATCAACCATGTGTTCTCACAGCTCATACTCTTGGGCACTCGGTCTGCAACCTCTGAGTTTGAGTCTCGCTTCACCTACCTCAGTCTGGGTAACTGGGTAATGTCATCAGCTCTCGCACAACATAAGATAAATGGAAAATCTATTCCAGACAACTGAGTAAAAAAATACTCTTAACTGCAAGCTATTTTTCTCAGAACAAAGTGATGAAATCGTTTCTTTTTACATTTACTGAATCTACAATAATGGCTGAGTCGTTTGTATATTTGGGTAGGGGAGTTAAACATCTCGCGTTATTAGCTCTCAATTTGTTATTTTCATCACAGTTTTTGCTCGCAGTCTGTGGATTGGGATTGCTATTTTTATCTACCGACCAAACAGAAGTGTCTTGAAAACCACCAGGTAGGCAAATCATAGAACGGAAAGGAGGATTTCGGCATAATAAGGTTAATAATATGGCATATCTACAAAACTGTATTACTTTGGACGGGTGAGATACGTGTTATTCTGAAACAGTTTTCATTGTTATATGCACAGCAGGACTCATTGGTACTTTTTCAGTATGTAGTTCTTGTGTGTCGAAAATGGTCAAAATTTTAATTTGTTGTATTCTGTGTATTGTTTCACCCAGATGATTTAGTAAGTTTTTAATACCAGCTTACTTTGGAGATAATAATATACGTGTACTTCACTCTGAATCAATAGGAAATATTGAGTGCGTAACTTGTCAGTCTGTATGGATTAAACATAGAACTTAGCACCGAAGTGCAGCAGTTCGAGTTGCCACGTTCCAAATAGCACACAAAGGTAGACAAGAAGATGAGTGGAGAGAATCAATAGAGTTTGACAGGTATAAGAGCGAAGCAGAATGGGTAATGGTAGAAAGAAATATGAAAGATTACAGAGACTGAATACATCTGCGCCATTGACAACGATTTCGAGCCATGTCACCTATTGTCTCGAACTATTGATTCCTAGAGTCCCGAGGGTCCCAACCCGGAAGTCTGCATCTCCCTACCTGACTCAGTTTAACTGTTTAGGATTTCATGGATTGATGCCATGTTTTTGTTTGTCCACCACTTAATCTTTTCCAACCTGCACCTATATCAGCTAGTAATACCCGTCGGGGGTGGCGATGTTTAGGCATGCTCAGCACGTGACCTAGCCGTCTCAATCTGTGCAACTTGTAATATATATATATATATTCTTTAGAGGTCATGAGTGGCGGGGTGTCTCACGGCTTAGTAGTACTATTATTAAGACACGAAATTGGTGCATTATGGCCACCAAGAGATGCGCCACACACAAAATCTCTCAGTTTATGTGAGGGCCGCTACACCGCCTGGACGCCCGAACTGAAATAGATGGTTATCTTAAAAGGGCAACCTTTTGAGGCCTCGAATCGAATTTCAATTCACAAGGCAGTAGAGCTGCGTTCACGTGCTCCCAACGACTCAGACAAGTTCTTACCTCGTTCAGTCAGTTCGGGTTATGCAGTCCATTTACACCATAGGTATGGAAGCAGTTTTCCATCCCTCCTAGATAGGCCACGATATATACTAGTCCGGTTGTAAGCACTGAACGTTCGCGCTGGCGCCCTCACTTCGTTTTGGGGAACACACCGCCGCGTGGAGTCAGTGAATAGAATAGTGCTTACTTGTCAAAGGCTATGAATGCGTGGCGACAATAGAATATTTCTAGAGGAAGACCTAAGTTTACCAGCCCTTGGCCGTGACATTGTGTATAGGGGCAACAGTGATGTAAATATACGTAATCTTCATCATCCTGAAGGTCTAAAACACATTCACTTACCTCCATTTGAATGTCTTTTCTCCTTTCACATCCGTTTTAGATATTGCTGTAGCATACCACTTTTTCCCTAACCTTTTTGTGTAATGCTTTTTTATGGCAACCTGAAATGATACACTTTTGCGTAGGTTTCTGACACTTATCTGTGTGTCTGTTTGTAAATATTTGTATTTTAATTCAGTACAAGTCATCTTTACTTGTTTTCGATCACTTCATTAACTTTTGGTTCCTAAAATCACAGGAGTATTAATGATATAGCTATTGAAACAGGATAGGGTTCTTCGACACTAATGGTAAGTGAGTGCTTTTATATGGTTTAGAGACTTGGCATATCAACAATAGGATTTCGAACAGCTGTCCTCGTTCCATGTTAAAGATTAGATAGCCAAAAAGGATTTGCATCATGGAACTCTGGGAACGAACCAACCAAGAACCCACAGTCCGGAAATAAGCCTAAGTGGAGGTGGATGAGACACACGGGTGAAACCGTTGAATCACATCGCGCTCCAGTCTCTTTAGTGAAACCCAAACTTGAAACGACGAGTTGGGCATGGATCTGAGGTTGACGTGAAGAAGATTGTGTGAGGAGATGAGAGCTTATAGGCAACGGTGGTACCAGCTAAGGACAACTACAGAGAATATCGTGGCAAAGAGATGTTCTGTTGAATCTGTATGTTCCACTCGAAACCTAGGGGAATATTAATAACATTAAGAGTAATTTTTAGCGAAGGGACTTTTTTATATAAATTTTTACTCTCCTGTAAACGTGTTTATGTTCACAGTTCGTTGCTTTTACACCTTCACGATACTTACTTAACACAGCATAATGCAACTTCATACTTCCTTTTTTTCTATATATTTAAAGGTGGGCTCAACAGGTGTTGCAGTAGGCATTGAACATATTAATGAGTTAACTGAATTTGCGTTAGCAAATGTTGGAAATTGGATGAATCATAGTAAAGCAGCTCAGTCGGCCGGCGTAGAATTGGGAAAACAACTGAAACTTGTAACTGGTGATGGTCGTCAAGGTTGGCCAGCTGATGCCCCTTATGATGCTATTCATGTTGGTGCTGCAGCTCCAACTATTCCTAATGCCGTGAGTTCGTGTGTATTTTTCTCTTGCTACGTAAAATTCATAATTTTTCAGTTTTTTTACTGACTTTATTGTGGAGACGTGTCTTATTGTCTGTCCTAAGCACTCGATTTTCAGCCGGTGATTGTAGGGTTTTAGTCCCGTTCCACCTACTCCAGCTTGAACTGCTGGGTGGCGTCAATCATTCTTCACATGAAATACTTGTGACTTATAGCCTGGACTTGTTTGAGAAACTTGCTCCGGTAACTTAGTTGAAAGAAACAAACAAACTTCCTAATTATATTCATCAGTTTGACATATAATATACGTAGTGTATTCGGAAGAATGACACTAATTGACTACTGAAATCTCGATAGATGTAGTTAACTTTAAGTTCGTATCCCACTGGTGAGTTGATAAAGATCAAACGCTTAGTCCAATGGAGCACACAACATCACTGATGCATCCAGAGAACGCTGACTGTCGAAGAGTGATACCATCAGATCACATGGTTACTTACAAATTAAACTACCTAATCTTTTACATTTGCGATGATTCCATCAAAAAGCAAACATCTCTTTGCTTCTTTTATGTATTTAAATCGAACACTAGTGTATCCCATTGCATTAGATTTGAGCCTCAACACAAATACTCATTAAAAACTGAGCATTCTTCAAAGATTATAAAACGTTTTGTACAGAACATTACAGTATGTATGCATTACTTGTCTTACTATACTCATGTTGTTGAAGTCATCTGTCTGTGCAGTAGTCGAGCCCAACAGTGTTTTTCTCGTGATAAGTTCAGGGTGTTATTCACTGCTAACTTGGGAAGTAGCTAAACATTTCGAGAAGAAGACCGAAGTCTACCCACCCCTAGGCCGTACCATGTCGTTTATGGTCGTAGAGGAGCAACTTACACTTGTGGTGGACCTTTTACTCTGTTAGCTCAGTTACCCAAATTCAAGTAGAAAATAAAATACCAAATCAGTTTAGTTACGGGAAGAATGTATTAAAGTTTGGTTACTTGGGTTTACAAAGATCCAAAGTCCACAATAAACGTTATAGACTCCAGGTGCTGCGGGAAGACTGCTCCAGTACTAGTTCTCCAATGTTGACGTTGCCGGAGGTCGACCAAAGTACGTAGGAAGAACCACGGTGCTCCTGCAAAAATTTGAGATAGAAAGCAGGTGATTAAAATTGATTGACGGCAGTTGAGATGGTGGAGAAGATGGAGAGTCGAAGGCAGAACTATATATTTATTCAAAACCCGAGGTAAAGTTCAAAGTACAGAGTTTATGGTTAAAACAAAGTGGTGTACAATATGTTCATTATTTACATAGTAGTAAAATTTGGATAAGTTTATTTTTGAGGACTCCACACACTCACCACTACCAAAGTTGGAAAATATAGTATTACCTATAAAATCACTGGATAAGAAATAACTGTACTGCTCTTTGTACAAAAATCTGAAAGGGGTTATGTGAACACCTTGATAAGATTGTAAGTGATATTGCCCTCGAAGAGTCACTTGTTAATAAATAATACGGTCTATTATTCAATAATTCCCACTGCAAAATTAAGAACACAATAATTAGGCTAAGAGATTCTTTCCAACAAATTTATTATGAAGCTGTACAACCATATATATATATATATATATATATATATATATATATATATCATTCATTTATAATTTTATGTGTTGTATGACATATGGTAAAGCATACTTGTCACTTGGTTATCAGTGAAGTGTCCTTTATAATGAGTAGTGTGGCAACTGAAACTACGGCACTTGTGTGCCGTGTTGAAACTCAGTTAGTCCTGTTTATCAGACAGACAGTCCGTATACTAACCTTGTGGGAGCTGTGGGTTATCACTATCACTAGTGCCCACACAGAACAATAGGTGTGGTTCATTCCCCAAATGCAAATGGTTGTTGTATAGTAGCACGTCTATTGCTAAGTTAAACAATAGCGTCCCACGGGTGCGAACGCCCCATTGACCTTGAACACAGGCTAGTTGTTGACTAACGGCACCTGTCATTATCATAGCGCGAATGTGAACGCTGTTCACCGATTAAAAAATGAATTTCACCCGGATCACGTTCTTAAGTACTGTTTGGATAGTTTGCTAATAGCTGATTAGGATTAGGATCAAAGTTAGGGTTACAATTAGGAATAGATTCAAAGTTGGGATTATTTATTTTAATTTGTCATTATCTACATTTTCCTAGTAAGTAGTCATTGACCCTTTTACTGCAAACCATAGTGATTCAACCGACGGCTTTTGGAAAGGACTTCGAAACAGAATAAAAGCGATAAACGGGTCACAAAAAGAGCTCACTTTAAGTTACTTCGGTGAATATATGTACCGAATCCCGGTGTATATTAAAAGTGCGTCTCAGTTATAATGAGGACTATCGATTTTTAAGTCATGTCAGAGAAAGATACCCTGTTCAATGTGTTACCATTCATTTCCTTGTAGATAAACGTCATTTTTTGTTTAAAAACCAATTGTTTTTATGGTTGGTGGTCGGCCCAAGGTCCCTTGTGCGTGTTTATCTCCTGGGACACTACTGTTTGACTTTGTTCTCAGCATTTGTCCCATTGTTAAAATAATCATAGCACATTTTTTGGTATTTCTGATTTTGTTGTAATCAACTTTACTTGTTTGTATTTTCTAGTTAAAAGAACAGTTAAGCGTTGGTGGTCGTCTAGTTTGCCCTGAAGGACCAGAAGGTGGAGATCAAGTTCTAGTTCAAATTGATCGTTTACCAGATGGTTCATTCCGGCGTGAATCACTTATGGATGTGGTTTATGTACCACTAACGGACAAAAATTTGCAATTAGGACTAAGGTAAATTCTTACATATTACCTTTTTCTCAGAAAAAAACAACATATTTCAATTTACATATTTTTTATTACTGTGATTTTCCGATGGAATAGATACTCAGCTGAATGTAGTTTATGTTTCAAATCTTATTATTTTCAAAGTCATTATTCTTGTCACTTCATAACTTTTACCATTTCTCATTTGATTCCTTTGGTTCCGAATAGTGGATAGGGCTCCAAACTTTGGAGTTTTGGTGGCGCTTTCGCTCTTACCGAGACGGGTTGCTAGCCTTTCGCCTGACCTCTTTTTTGAGTTTACTACCGGCTAGCAAACTAGACAAGGCTTCTGGAACACATCGTCTGGGAGTCGGACCCTACCTTCTGGTGTGGCTGGTAAACATTCGACGTTTTAACCACCTGTGCTATTAGTAACTGTCATGACTGACATTCACTATATAATAGGTCAGATATGCTTGGCTAGGTGTCCGAAGCCTTAGCTCATTGGTTCAGTTGGTGTTTGACTTCAAACTACTAGGTCCCGCTTGACCTAAAAAGGTATATCAAGTCAGGTAGTATTGCTAGTCCTCAGACAATAAATGCGGGTCATTGCCGGATATCCGTGGAAATACTAATTGTTGTTGCAAGATTTTAGGCATCTTCAGAAAATAAAAATCCAGTATACAGTTCCTAATGTTACTGATGTTTAGTAGTTCAAGTGACTGTGTTGTAGTTTGTGTTAATTTTAGCTTTCTAAGATATATTCATATCGTTGGAATCTGTAGTATTTTGGTGGTTTTAGACACGTTGATATCCGACTATCAATATACACCAATTAGCACCAGTGAGAGAAACCTAATGTAGGTCTCCCCTTTCAATTGCCTCTCCAGCATGGCACAGATGCCCACGTCGAATCCAGCCAGGAGCGGAAAAGCAAGATAGGCATTCACTGTTTTTGAAATTAGTGTGCAGATTTGTAATGTTTAACGAATGGAACAACATTCTAATTGTCAACACTGATGTAACATGGAGGACAATCATGTGAAGAGAAAATGAAATCTGGTGGGCAGTATTGGTTCAAATTCTCTCATTCGACTACACATCTCTGCTTTTATTTTGCTCCTAGCGGCGTGTGTGAACTGATAGAAAGTGGCCAGAAATTTAAATCAACATTTTAGGTCAATCGCTGGAGAATTAGAAGTGTTCATTCCCCAAATTCAGATTTAGTTCGCGTGGTCAGCATGCAATAATTTCATTGGAAAACTTTTCTTCCGGTTGTTTAACCTTGGACCAATTGCCAGCCAATCAGGACCGCTTATCGTCCGCTGATTCAGCCGACTTTTAATAAGGATAAAACTGTACTAATATGTCTGTCTGTTTCCGACGTAGAATTTTGCACAAATGTGCGGAAGTTCAAGTCGCCACACTCCCTCCTTGTTGTAGCACACAAAGCAAGAGAAGAAAGTAGAAGAAATGCATATTAAAGACAGTAAACAGAGGTGTGAGACAAAGGAAGAGTAATAACGAAGAACAAAACAGTTTCATTAGAGATCATAAGTCACAAGGAGTGGATGCATCTGCGCCACTGAGAACGATTTTGAGCCATGTCACCAATTGTTTCCAACCATTGATTTTTACCGTCCCGAGGACCCCAGCCTGGAAGTCTACACCTTCCTACGTGGCTTAGACCAACTGTTGTGGATTTCATTGACTGGTGCCAAGTTTTTGTTTGACCGCCGCTAGCTTTTTTCCAGCCTGACCCTATATCAGCTAACATTGCTCGTCGAGGAAGGCGATGACTAGGCATACGTAACACATGTCCTAACCATCTCAGTCTTTGTAACTTCACGACTTCGTCGATTGATTTCCCCTGTTTACCTAGAACTCTACGCCTAACCTCAATGTTGCTCACCTTATTATGCCACTTTACACGAGAAATAGAGTGCAGGCACCTATGATCAAAGACAACTAGTCTTTTCATGTCTTCCACTCTCAGTGGCCACGTCTCACAGCCATAAAGGAGGACGGAGCGGACTGATGAGCAGTACACCCGCACTTTGGTCGATAGTCGGATATCTCGTCTACGCCAGAGACAGCGTAAACTGCCATATACGAAACTAGCCCTCAGTATCCGTGCTGAGATTTCGTCAGAGATCAACCCGTTGGCGTTGCGTGATGCAACTTCCCAAATAAGTGAAGCGGTCAACGTGCTCTACCACTTCATTTCCTAATTTTAAACTAGGAGTCAGTGTGATCCAGTCCAGTCATGTAACATCATCTTGCATTTGGCGGGAGCGAATCGCATGCCAAACATTCGTAGATTGCGGCTCAAGGTGTTCAGAAGACTGCATTTTTTCAGCGTCCTTGCCTATATCGTCCTTCTAGCCTGTGCAAATGCAAGTGTTATCCTGTTTTTCTCTGCTGACAACAGTTAACGACTTCACAGTGTCGGTATCATGCCCATAGTCAACAAGATGTTTTATTATTGAGGTTTCTGGCACTTTGCATTCAGCTGTTTTCAACCATTTTGACAAATGCTCTATCATGCGTGTAGACAAACACCTTTCTGTACGACCTATGTATTTGCTTCCACAAACACACTATTTGTATTCTTTTCAGGCTTTTCTAGTAATTTTGAAATGTTACTGCCTTCTAAAGCAATGCTTTTAATGTAAGGACACTTTGCCATGTAGGACAACAGGCATCACTAGCCAAGACCCTGGCATCACGAGCCATTGATGTATGCTGTGTTTCAGAAACACGCATACAAGACCCAAGTGTGGTTATTCACCTAACCCCACCTGGCCAACAGGACGAATCTGCAAAATTCTCCATGGGGGTGTCAGGAGATACCACAGCTAGTTCACGAGGATAAGCTGGCGTAGGGATAGCTTTGAGTACTAGGGCAGAAAAGACATTACTTGACTGGATCTCGGTAGATAGCCGAATGTGTGCTGTCCGTCTGAACGGGTCAGTAAAAAGGAGAAAGGACTGCACTACTCACCGATGCCTTTTCGTAATCTCCGCCTACGCCCCCACTGATTGCAGTTCAGATGAAACAAAGGATGAGTTCTATCAAAAGCTGTCTAGTTTGCTGCGAAAGGCTAAACGCTCAGACATAGTCGTTCTAGCTGGTGACTTTAACGCTCAAGTAGGGAAATTGTGTCAATCTGTGAAGGATGTCGGTGGCACCTATGGAGTTCCGTGCCAGCGAACCGACAAGGGTGACCGTCTCCTACAGTTCTGCTCTGATAATCATTTGTTTCTTGTAAGCACTAACTTCAAACAGAAGGAGAGACACTGTTTGACCTGGCGACCCCCATCATCAAACCAACGCTGGACACAAATAGACCACATAGCAATAAGCTATCGTTGGCGTGGGTCGGTAGGAGATTGTCGCTCCTTCTGGAACACGTGTGTAGATTCCGACCACGCACTGGTCCGTGCTCGTGTGTGCTTACGACTGAACGGACGTAGGAAACAGCTGGCGGTAAACCCATCACGTCCCCAGCTCGATCAGGAAACTAAATCCCTATTTGACAAAGAACTAGCTAAACACATATGAGTTCGACAGCTGTGCTCACCCTGAAGAAGCTTGGAAAAATATCCAGGGAGCCCCATAGATACAGCTGTAAAAGCTGTGAACAAGGTAAACCCAAAGGTGAGTAAAAACCACTGGATCTCCACCGCCTCATCCGAACTGATAGATGCTAGAAGACTTATTCCGGCGAGCTCCGAATTCAATGAGGAGCGAAAGCTGCACAAAAGAAAACTTACGAAAAGACTCCGCAAGGACCGTGAACAGTGGTGGGTGACAAAAGCGAAAGAGATGGAAAAGGCATCGGCGATTGGTAACACCAGACAACTATTTAGGCTTATCAGAGAAACAGGTGGTAAAAGGCAAATGATAAGTGAAACAATCTCTGAGAAGAATGGTACTATAATTAGCTCTCAGTATAGATGACTGGAACTCTGGAAACAGCACTATGAGGAGCAGTTTAATTGCCTACATCTACGCTCAATCTGCCGAACATCCAACACCTCCCTGAATGGGATATAGACACAGGTCCTCCGTCCATAACTGAGGTTACTAAAACTGTCACCAGTCTGAAACAAAGCAAAGCAGCAGGACCTGATGGAATGACTCCAGAGGTATTTAATACGATGGAGACAGCCTACTGTCTGCATTAACTGAGGTACTAGGCAGCGTCTGGGGATCAGAAGAAGTCCCATCGGGTTGGTGTAAGTCACTGATTATCCCAATATACAAGAAGGGAGACAAGTCTTCCTGTGATAATCACAGAGGGATTAGCTTGACTAATATAGTATCTAAAGTCCTAGGCTCAATAATCATGCGTAGACTAAATGGTGCTCGGGAGGCACAAACACAAGAAAGCCAGGCAGGCTTTAGACCAGGAAGAGGGTGTATTGATCATATCTTCACCCTCCGACAGATTCTAGAACATAGGGATTCCTACCGGCGTCCAACAGTCATTATATTTCTTGACCTAAAGGCGGCATTCGACCCTGTCGATCGAGAAGTTCTCTGGCGATGCTTGGCTGTAAAGGGAATGTCGAGAAAATATATTGCACTGATTAAGGCACTCTACTCGTACTCATACAGCCAGGTGAGGGCTTACGGCGAGTTGTCATCTGAACTGGTGACGACTAGTGGTGTCCGTCAAGGATGCCCATTATCCCCTTTTCTATTCAACTTCATCATAGATGTGTTAATGGACTTAACCCTAAGTGACTTCAACGACTCAGGGATTGACTTGCTAACCAGGGAATAATCTCGTTGACTTGGAATATGCAGACGATATAGTCCTTCTAGGCGAAGACGCTGACAAAATGCAGAGTCTTCTAAACACCTTGAGCCGCAATCTACGAATGTTTGGCATGCGATTCGCTCCCGCCAAATGCAAGATGATGTTACATGACTGGACTGGATCACACTGACTCCTAGTTTAAAATTAGGAAATGAAGTGGTAGAGCACGTTGACCGCTTCACTTATTTGGGAAGTTGC